CTCATATCTGTTCAGAAACTAGACAAAAGTTAAACAAGTACAAACCACATACTGTCTGTGTCATGGCGAATACAGTCGCTGGTTTATTTATGTCTGCATAGGCCGTTGTTGTGAGTGTGGACGGTCGGAGCATATACTGCGTTAGCTAAGCCGATCTCCATTTAGAAAACACGAATTTTAAAAAGGTTTTTCGCCTGCCGTCTGTCTGCAGACTTGTCAAAGCATTAATTCATGGTTTTTACTATCCGGTATCAGTATGTTAGTACTTCGGCATCATTATGAAACGTGTATTACAATTAAATCACGGTCAAATATGTTCATTTTGTTGTAGTTGTAGCCCCCTTGCCAGCGATTCTCTCTCTAGTTTAGCATACCACTGAGACAAATGTAACATTTGTGATATTGGGCTATATAAATAAACATTGATTGATTGATTGATTGATTGAGCATACTCAGCCCGACTCAGCCTGGTTGTTGGCCCGGAAAGAACCTCGATTTTATGGGGACAGAAAAACTGTAAAATAGTACCCACTAGCCAGAACTACGTCAAGTGGAAACGCAACCAAAAACGGGCCATGCACGGCTCGGCACGCTTAAAGCGAGCTCTGCGCTGTAGTGGAAATGCGCCATAACATAAAAATGTATACAAACAAGAAGAAAGTACTGCACGCAGGGTTAAATGCATAGTACACAAATCATAGTACAATACACTGCAGTGAAAGTTGTCTTAAAAAATATTTCGGTGGAATGATCACCCATGCCTGGTCGAGACGGGCATGTCAAAGCTAAAGCCTTGCTCAGATTTACCAAAGGCAGTTTCTGGATTCATCATTGCACAATACTACGTTTTTTATTCAATGTTTACCTGAATGCAGCATCAAATGTATAATATACCAAACTGTGTTCAATACAAAGTATATATGTTTACATTTGATGCTGATTAAAAGCGTATTCATGTACAATAACCAGGTGCAAGCCACATGGGTGGCAAGAAATAAACCAACATAGTCTTATAATTAATCCTAAGGTTACAGGAAGCCAATGGACAGAAGCCAAGATGGGTGTTAAGGCTTTCCCTTCCCCCAGTCCTCATGAGCAGTCTGCCAGCAGCACTGCGTCCTGACTAGAATACAGACTGACTGAGCTGCTGCGGACAGGTGGGAGTCACAACAGAGCAGCTGAAACACTAAAGTGCTTGCAGAATAGCATTCATGTTTAATACATGTATTGAGAAAAAGTGCAATTTGCAAACCATGTATAAATGCCAAAAACAGATTTCTGATAAGTTGTTTTTCTGCTACTCACAGAAAAGTGGTGTTGGAAAATGTAAAAGACAGTTACTGAAAATCTGCACGAGACTGAACGCTGATAGTGTATGACTCCATAAAGTGAGATTAAACATCTAAAAATAAAAGTTGACGTTGAATAGTTACTCTTTCTTACTAATGTAGCAATTAACAAATGTACTTCATATTGTTTAAGTTATTATTGTACTAGTATTATTATACCAGGAATTATTTAACTCTACTCCCTTCTCTCTAAACAAAAATACAACATACCCTCACAGCACAAAACACCTGAAAGTGAAGAAGTGCCACTTCAGTATTTAGTTGAAAAGAGACATTTTGAAATTCACAAAATATCTCACAGACAGGCCATTTAGTCAAACATACTACAAACATTTTGTGTTTATTTCCCATGTCCCCAAATACAATCCTTTTCCAGGAAATTGCCAAATACCACATTTCAATACATATTTATTTTCTGTACCACCGGTTAACGACTCTCTTTAGCCTTTAGTAGAACAATCATTCCAGTTTGAGAAAAAAAAAAAAAAGATGGCCCTTTTCTCATCTAGTCTTTACATTTTTTCACACGAAGAAACGAGTACCAGACGCATGCTGACTTAATTATGTCCCCACCACCATGTGTGCTTTAATGTTTAAACTTTAACCACACTGGATTAAACGGTCACTTCCATGCCACTGTATTTTGTTTTGATTTCTTTGACCACTGGAGATGTTCAAAAAGTTTAATTTAGGTGATTGACGCGATATATTAAAGTATGACATACACTTTGGTTGGCTAAGCTGCCGGCACCACACACACAAGTTCAAGGCGGATATCTGGACAACTTTAATCCATGTGCACTACCACAGGAAGGAAGCATATCAATCATTACTAATCTTTAAGGCCGGGCTATAAAATGGACCAAAATGTATTCAAAGAAAGTGGCCGTCTTGACGTTGACTAGGCCAAGTTCAAACAAACTGTATTTCTGTCTGGACCCCCAAGAAGGCCAGGGAGCACACACACATTACTGCAGGAACATTTGTGCAGGCAGAAGCTGCCCCTCCCCCTCCTCCTTTGTATAAAGGCTGGTGCTGCTCTTTGTGGATTTGCCACCATAACAAAACAAATGTTGAAACACTGATGTCTTGTTAAAGTTAAACTTGAATTAACATTAGGCAGTTGGAAAATGATATGTTTCATATGAATACGTTTCTGCAAAAGCATAAGTCTTTCATACATGCATTTGACCAGGGACGTGCACAGGTATGGGCTATTGTTGCCCGGGCAACGGCCCGTTTTTCCTTTTTGGCTGACCTGCCCCTCTGGAGAGAGCGAGAGTTTTTTTTTTTCTTCTTTCTGTTGTGGTCGAATCAACATTACATTACATTACATTGCATTTAGCTGACGCTTTTATCCAAAGCGACTTACAATAAGTGCATTCGACCAGGAAAATACAACCTTGACATGATAAGCCCACAATTAGTATTGTAGTGTCTCGCTGCGGGAAACACACCAGCTTCATTCTTCTTCTTCTACTACTACTTCTTCTCCTCCTTCTTCCTACATGTAATTACCCGCAACATTTTCAATGAAGAACTCGTTTCAGTGTGAACTCATTCCACAGTATGACCATGAATGAACTGGTTTCATTAATTAGTGAGTTTATTTAAGGTATTTATTAATGCTGTCAAGATTATCGCGTTAGATATTTAACGCATTTAACGCATGTGCAGAATGGCCCGCCCCATACATCTCACCAGTGGCAGCGCCAGGGTATGGCTGGGGTAGGTTACAGCTAAAAAACTAAAAATGTCCCTGGTTTTCATTTTAAAAATCAAGTCACTGAATGCAAGTAGTTGCCTTAGCTTATTTTGTTTTGAGATGATGATGTGAGTTACTGTTCAAATTAGTTAAGTTGGGGGGAGGGGGGAGGCCCTTTTTCCAGTTTAGAGCAATAGCCCCTCCAAATGTCTGTGCACGTCCCTGCGTTTGACACATACAATACATACACTGTAATACACATCAGACCTCATGAACACTCAAGGTGGATTGTTGAATCTACCTTTCTAGTAATTCAGAGCAAAAATAAATATTTGATCCATGAAACTAATTGCAACTTTTTTGATAATTGATACATTTTAGTTTAACTTTTACAATAGAAATTACAAACATTCCCTTGTTCTAGCTTCTCATATCTGAATATTTTCTGGTTCTAAGACTTCCATAATAGTTACTAAATATCTTTGAATATCTTTTTATGTGACAGATAGTACTGTTACTAGTAGGGAGGCTCCGATCGAGATCGGGCGATACTCACTCTCTGCCGATCGATCGGTGCTCTCTAAAAAAATGCCGATCGCATGACGTAAAATACATGACACTTTTCTCAGTGCGCGGCAAAATAAGCTCGCCAAAATGGCTTCACCAGTCTGGCAGTATTTTAAGGTGTCCGAAAATGACAATAAAATAGCGGTTTGCAACGTGTGTGAAGCAGAAACCCTGCAGCTCCGCCCGCTGTGACGGACCGGTGAGTGGAGCGAAACACACAAGAGTTAGACCTAACACACTTAGCCATTTTATCTACCTCTGGAACAAGCTAAACTAGTTATACATGTTTATTCTTCACTGTCGGGTCCCTCATTACTGGATCAGTGAGCTGCATGAGATACTGACCATCTGTCAGGAGAGAGAGAGGGAGAGAGGAAAAGAGAGCGCTTCCGCTCATTTCTCCCGTGTTATTATCCAAAGTTAATGTAAACTTGAATAATGTACTTCATTTGAATGTAATAATTATGTTGGTTGTTGTTTGTGGAAGTGCCACTGAATGAGCCCCATTAACTGAGTTGTAAACATCACTTTAAATGGAAGATCCCCATAGGCCCCGCCCACTCGATCGGATCGGCGATCGGTATCGGCCGATACTGATTCCAGCGATCGGCCCCAAAATTGGCGATCGGAGCATCCCTAGTTACTAATAGTTAATTGACTAATACAAATTGCAGTTGTTTTCAGCCTCCCAAATATGGGATTTTCAGCTTTTCTATGTTTTATATCGCATTACTGAATGTCTTTATGTTTTTGGCTGATAAAACAAGATATTACCGTAGACTTTGACATACTGCAATATACATTATTCTATTTCAGATTTTATTGAACAACCATTATTGGATTAATCTGAAAAATTAAAAATGTAAATGCAGCCCTAATGAATAAAAAACGATTTCATGGCACTGGGAGTTTGCAAAGCAACAGTTTTGCCATTTGCTGATATCCTGTAGTCTACCCGATTAATCAAGGAAAATATGGTTGATATGTTGAGAGTGAACACAATTGCTAGTTGCAGCATGAACATATACAATTGCAGATTGATTTAATAATAATTATTTTATGTTCTCAAAATAATTAAATCATAAGCTTAGTTGCTAGTTTATCGAAAGCCTCCGTTCTTAAGTGTTTCTATCAGTGAGGGCTAACTGAATATTAGAAACTTCCCAGTATGACACAACATAGACCATAGCTCTAGCCTACAAAATGAAAATTAAGCTGAATCAACACCTATTAATAATGTTTGAACCAGAACTAAACATTATAGTCTTTGTGAAGAGTTATTTTTGCAGAACCTAGACAACCATGTGTATGCATTTCAAAATTAGACAGTGAAATTGTTATTATTATGCATATATCGTGATCATAAATGTACATTTTACCTCCTGATACAGGTGCATCCATAAAAACTGCACCCATCTTCTCAGCAGCAGCAGCCATCTCTTTTGAAACAGACGGGTCGATGGTGCTGGAGTCGATCAGTAGGGAGCCTTTCTTTACCTTTCTGTTGAAGAAAGTTAATGAGTTAGAGCCTGACATAAGTGTTAAAGGTAATGATGTACATATTGAAAGAGAAAACCAACGTGCGACCTACTTAAGAATGCCATTGGGTCCAGTGTATACATCTATGACATTGGGACTAGAGGGGAGCATGGTAATAATTCGGTCAGCCTTGTCTGCTACCTCACCAGGATTATCCACAATCTGAGAAACCAAAAAAATCCCAAAGTTAGAAGATAGCAAAAATGTGAAAACTGTATACAAATTAAGTCAGTTTGAGAGCATTCACCTGTGCACCCAGCTCTTGCAGTTCCTTGCAGGACTCCGGGAACACATCGGTAGCAATAACCGGGTATCCGTGGTTTAGTAGGTTCTTTGCCATTGGGTTTCCCATATTTCCCAGACCAACAAACCCCACCGGAGTTTTTGAGGCCATTGACCTTGCAGAGACTAGAAGATAATGTTTTAATGAATCAATGATAAGACACAGAATCATTGTTACATGAATGAAGAACATGCAATTCTTGCCTGCTTTACTATTAGTCAAAAATGTCACAACTGTATGTTTGAGTTTGTTAATAATTAAAAGTAAAAAACAATTCTCCAATCCAAGGAATGAAAAAACCTTGTTTAGATGTAATGTTTAAATGTAAGGAATGTATTTCCATTGCATTACCCTCGAGTGCCAAAGTCATCTAATCTAATGGCACCAAGCCCTTTCAATATTTACTTTGTTATTTGATAACAGAACCTTTTTCAAAAAGGCAAGCATGTATATTCTGTGATTGTTTCACCACATTTTGTTCAATCACACATGTTACTTCATCTTTAAATAATAGATGCGGTGTTGTGTAAATGATAAGGGCAAGGATATATATGGATTTTTTTATATCTTTAAGTAAAAACAATGTGATGTTTCGATTGTGCCGCTCATTCTTAAAGTGGCTACACAGGGCCACCTTCAACCTTCTCCCAAAGAGTCCACAAGGACTGACATTACATAATGTGGCTTGAAATACAGACAGGCCACCAGAGAATATGCCGACAATTGTCCTGCCTTAGGCAGCTCTCTAATATTGCCTTAGAGAGCTTTCGCGGTTAGCACGTAGCTGAGGCACGAAAACAAGACTTATTTTTTTAACAGAAAAGCTCCTTCACCAATCACAAGTAAGGTGAACTGACGGCTGCAGCAGCAGCTAAACACAGAGTAGCGAATGAACTCAAACATTTCAAGCAAAGTAGTGTGTTCATGAGAACAGAGACGTGCATAATGGGTACACGGTGTAAGTTTGTTCTCCTTACCGAATGCAAAGTCAACATGCTTGCTACACCTCCCAACTAGGAACCGAGATCCTCTCAACACAGCGGCCATGCTTATTTTCCTTTTGACCTTACGTTTGACGTAATAACACGTACATTAATGACGCTGCTTACGACCAATCACAAATGAGATCAGCGCAACACGGCTTCCTTAATTCAGCCAATAAACTGATGGGGAGGGTCTGAGACTTTATTTCCGGTTTACAGATGTGTTACATGTCTTTAACACTATGCATTTAAAAGGTAAACGACAATAGTTCATAGGACTTTCTGGTTAATATCATTCTTGTTCCAGGGACATTTAGTAATGCCAAATTCAACTTATGTCACGAGGAAGTTCAAATGCAATATGCAAATAAAGAAATAGAGGATAAGCCTTAGTTGAATTGCAGAGCAAACATTCAGATGTTGGAGCAGCACGACAACAGAAATGAGTACAGATAGAATAGGTAAAAATACATACAGGAATAGAAACTATACAACTTTACCATAGCAATTATAGACAAAGTTATAATGTTAAAGTGACCAGTTAGGAAGTAAAGTTGCATAATATGATTAATATTGTATAATAATAAAAAATATTATATTGTGAAAAGTAATGATACTTTGCATTGTCTGTATGAATGGTATACATATAATTCAGTGTATATGTTGAAAGACAATACCTTATTAACTTAGTAAATCTGATTGTACGGGTATAGTATGAGGTTTTAATATGTAGTATAAACTGCAATGTAATAATAATAATAATAATAATAACAATACAAATAATTTAACAGTACACCTCGCCTTAGTTATTATGTAATAGAAATAATAACAATACTACAACTTTATTTTAAAACTCGAGCTAGTACTATGCCATTCAAAAATATTATTTGAAATTGATATTCAACAACATCGTGGTCTGTATTTTGTAACTTTGATTCTCTGTCTGCTATCTCATGTTTTCTTCTCAGACGGGTGGGATTTCCAGCCAGCTCCCCTACCCGGAAATGACGTAATGTTGTTATTATTCCAGGAAGAGGGCACGGGAAGCACTGAACTGCGTCAACAATTGTTTTTAAGATACATTCGGATTTCGGCTGTTGGTAATCATGGCATCTGGGTATGTTTAATGTTTATTTTATATATAAAACATATTCTACCGTTCTCCTTGATTCTCTATCTTGACGTGGGGTTTTAGAAGGTAGTTGGACAGATAGCATTGCTATCGTGTTTACGTTGCTAACTAACCTCCAGCTGTTAGCATGCTGTTCTCAAGCTAGCGGCTCTTTTCGTTGAGGGCGTTGTAACTTGTCTCACCTAACAATATGTGTTTAACAGGGATGAGTATATATATATATAGCTCGTTAGTCTTAATGTCTCTTTGCCCAGAGGTTACGATGTCTTCCATTACATGATGTAAGTAATGCTAGCTCGCTAGCTGCAAAGCTTGCGTAGCCATAATGATTGCTGTTTTCACATAAGGCCTCGCCTCGTAACGTTAGCTTGCATTTGTCAGTTAATAAATGCCACTACCGTGAGTTTTGTTTAGCGTTTTATATTCGGTAATGCTGTAGATGACAAGAGTGTTCAGTGTTTCCGACCATCAGATGAGCGTGTTATGACTGCCACAGGCCCAATTACGTCGGACTATATCAGCTGAGGCCGAAATGGTGGATCCACCCTGAAGTAGAACTCACGTCATCTTAGTGTTATGTTTAAATAAAGCTTACTTGAACCTAGCAGAGTCTTTATATCATTCGTCGTGTCGAGGTGACACTATGATAGTCTTTATTATTAGTATTCCTTAAAATAAATCTAAAAGGCATAACATAGTTAAATACTACTATAAGAACAAGTAAAATTATCATGTGACACAATGACTCACATAAGAATGAATGTCACCTATTCTAACATTAAACATTTGAACATTTATTAGGAGTAAGTTTTGAATCTCAAATGTGATCTGGGAAATGTAATAAGTTTAAATATAGTCAAATACATTGTATTTTTATCCCCATATCACAACATTTGCCTCAGGGGATTCAGCATACACCATCCTTTGTTCTTTTCAACCCGCTATTGGATACGACAAAACTCCACAAATAACAACGTCATTACGAGAAAATAGTCAAATAAAAGTTAGAAAGATATACAATACAGTTAAAAGGAGTCTATTACAGTTACTAAGTATTTCTACTTATTTGGTGTAATTGGATGTATTTTACACCACTGAGAATGGGTTTCTTTTTTCAAATTTTAAACTGTTTCCCTTTTGACATCGTGGAAATAACCTATTACCTCAAACTTGGGGAAACTGTATCATATAATTATTTCATGTCATTGGTGTTATCAGTTGTGTTTTAGAAATCATTGACAAACACATGAGCTGAAGTGGACCAAATACAATGCCAATGTAAGGTGTAAAGACAGGCACCATTACCACTCAGGGTGGTACAGATAAGTTGTATGGGTGTAGCAGCTACAGGACCAGCCTTTTGCATTGATCATCCATCATGTGTTGGAAGTGAAAGGTCATCTCTTGTTCTGTACATTTCTGTGTGATGAACATTCCCTATGTTTCCCACTGAAAGAGTACCATTTTGCTGGTCATATGACATCATCTTTCTGGTGGCAAACTTGGAGTTTTTGATGACTTCATGTCTTGACAAGGCATAGTTCAATTAGTCAAGGCTAATGTAATCCCACACCTAAAACAAAAATCGGACATTCCCTTGATTGGGAATTTTTTTTGTAACAAATCTAAGGCCAGTCAAAGGGAACTCTGGTATAATGGTGTTAGTCATAATCTTGTGTCACCAGCATTGAGCACTAGTACTTTTAATATCTTAAACACAAATGATATGACTCAAAATGTAAGATAGTAATTTCCTTGCGCTGGTTGACATCTATGGTTGACATTCATGAAAGCTGTTATGATTGTCAGAGAGTTACTGTGTTTGAGTCGAATAAGAACAAATGCACTACAGCACATTTGGAAGGCAAATAGTGGAACAACCATTTTAATATGGGTGTGGATTGTAACGATTTTATTTGTCATACGAACATAGCTACAGAGTAGTTATGTCGATGAAAATCTTAGGTCACAGGCTTCTCTAACAGTGCAACACAATAATACAGAAAAACAGAAAAATATAGTGCAAGTAAATATTAAAAAGTAAATACAAAAAGAAAAATAGTTTAAAAAAAGTGAAGTAGTGAAATAAGAGTCTATATGCAAGCTATTGGAATGGTACAGCCAATGGCGTCTGGCCAACAGCACAGCTGAATATTGTAGAACCGATGAATGAAAAGTAAACTGC